ACGTATGTCCATTTATTGACTAAAGAAATCGAGCGGAAACAATTGGTTTGTGAAAAAAACGTGTAGATTCAGAAACATACAAAGGGAGTTGCCTAGACAAAATGAGGGTAATAAATGTAAATGCGAATCACGCGTCTTCTAATCAGGAAAGGGCAAAGTACAAAAAATTCCAGGTAGAAGTATGGGCAGTTCTAAATATCTGTATGTGTATATGTACGTGTGGATGAACAGGTGGGACTCGTATCAGATATGCATATACATATTCTTTCAGAGTTTCACATATCTAGCGAAATATGTTGGGCTTTAAGTGTAAGTATTATTATCTTCTTAAATAAGCGTTTAACTTTCTTAAGTTGAAATTATACCCCTTTATTAACTTAAATCTCAAAACTTATATCAGTCCAAAGAGTCGGCTACAGATCTATGAAGAAAGAAATTGTAAGAGTAAGGACTTCTAAATTAGCCTAGCTGACGACATCTTAACCAATCCCATTGTTAGGCATTACCTTCTGAATATATTTTCATAGGTAGAGCTCATCGCAGCATTTCTCAATGTTGAAATGGCAGTCCATTCAACTACCTTTAATTTAAGCGGATCCTCTCACATAGACGGATGAAACAAAGAGGAATGCCAAAATCAAATGGTGAGTAAAAGTGATAAAAACATGACCTCTGACTCTGATTTTACTGATTCTATTGCATCTTGCAACTGATAGTATTTCACATCATGGCCCCTTGAATACACCCAACGCATATTTTGTAAGCTTACGAGTTCTGCGATAATTGTCTACTAAACAGGCGGTGAATAAATAAGTTAATACTTCGTTTCCCTTAAATATGCACATTTTTTTTCTTCACGAGAGTTTTAATTTTATTTTATTTCAAAATTATCAATTTTGAAGAGAATTGGCGAAAATAAAGACATAGTTTGTTTACTTTATTATACCTTTCATGAGCATGAAATGGTATTATAACTTTGGTCCGATGTTTGTAAGTACCAGAACAAAAAGAGATAGACCCATTAAAATGTATACTTATATGATCAGAACGTCGAGCTGAGTTGATTTATCCATGTCCGTCTGTCCGTCTGTCCGTCTGTCCGTCTGTCCGTCTGTCCGTCTGTCTGTCTGTTTGTATGCAATCTAGTCTCTCAGTTTTCGAGATATCCGGATCAA